TGAAGTGTGATGAAGAGATACAGCTCTTCAGTTTCAGGATTATTTGATGAGTAGATAGTTTGAAGAACAACAGTCTTTTGTAACATAAATGTTTTTACTGTCATTTTAACCAATTTAATGCATACTTGCTGTATAAAATTATCAATTTCTTTCAAAAAATGTTTAAAAATGTAAATTGAAATTAATGTGAATTGCTATAGAAATATAGTTCATTGTTAGTTCATGATACCTAATGGTAGTGAATGAAACATTACTGTAAAGTGTTACAAATAAAAAAACATTTTATTACATTGCTTTACATATGGGTGACTCGCACTCCAGAGGGAGGAAGAGTAGACTATCCTGGATGGAAACTAACATGGATTTTTTTCTTCATTCATTTCTCTATGCAGGCTTTTCCCAAGGAGAAAATCTGTAGCGCATTGAAGTCTGTGTTCGACCTCAACGTTATGAGCTTTGCAGGCGGGCAGATGGGTGCGGTGAATGGGATGAGGCCAGAGGGTGTGCCTGACCATTCCAGTGTCCAATCAGATGAGGTGTGGGTGGGAGTAGTGTACGGATTAGCAGCTACAATGATACATGAGGTAATCAAACCTCAGATCATATCACCAGGTTCCAGATGAAATTACTCTATTAATTAACACCTAATACATCCCACTGTCTTTTTTTCCCAGGGCATGATAGAAGAGGGAATGCACACTGCGGAAGGCTGTTACCGTGCTGTATGGGAACGAATGGGAATGGCCTTTCAGACTCCTGAAGCATACTGTGAGAAAGGCATTTACCGCTCTCTCGCTTATATGAGGCCTCTGAGCATCTGGGCAATTCAGCTTGCACTAAACAATCGACCAAACCACAACAAAACCACTGATAAAGATATGGGCCAGGGCTGAGCTGGAGCCTTATAAATATGCTGGAGGAAACTTGCACTGTCGAGCCTCCGCAATGAAGGGACCTCTTAATCCTCGTTTTAAAAGACTGCAAAAGGACTTTGGATACAATGTCATCATGGGCTGTTATTTCATTTCCTTAACCTTAATTTCCAATTATTTTGTAAAACTGGCATTTCCACTGAAAATATGCATAAGCTTTTCCACAATCCTTTTTTGTTGCAGCTGTAAATCATAGTTTTACAAGTGGGAGTGTAAAGGCTTGGTCTCAGTGAAATGACAGACTGTTCATTATGATATTGGGAGTAGGGTCATTGATCTTTGGGAATCAAGTAGTTATAGCATGATTCTAAATAATTTTCACTGTATATTTCTATTATTGGAATGGCCTGTTGAGTACTTGAAGAAAGAAACTGCTGGTTCTCTCCTTTTTTTTTTTAAATATTTGTCCTCGTATGTGTCATAAAGCATCTATCTGAGGCTTCGAGAAGTCAGTACTGTACACTATTATACAGAATTGTAATAGATATATAATTAAGTAAATTGGAATGACTGTATACTGCCATCAGATTCTTTTTTTTTTTTTTTCTCAGATGCATCATAAAGCATTTATTTTATCTGCTATATGCTGGTGTTACTGTAAGGAAATGGTATAAAACCCACAACCCTGAGATGCTTAACAGGCATGCCAGGCTAAAGTGTGTGATTTAAATCACTGACTGACAGTGAATTGCCCTCCAAGGCTGCATTTATTTGATCAAAAATACAGTAAAAACAGGATATTGTGAAAAAAATTTAAATAGCTGTTTCGATTTTAATATATTTTAAAATGTAGTTCATTCCTGTGCAGGCATCAATTGCAGTGACATTGTCCTGTTTTGTGCCCCTCAAAAGGCCTTTCATAACTTTCTAGGATGTTAAAGTGTTGTATATGTCTATGTAGGTGTAGAAACATCTTGGGCTCATAAGCCTTAAGATTGTGTCTGAGGATTGCTATTCATTATTAAGCCAACTAACTTGTGAAAGCTTGTAAGACTGATCAAATTACTGAATAATAGGTCTTGTCATATGCATTTTCAAATTATGACTGGGAACCCAAGCTATAATTCTTAAGTACAACCCATTTAATGATTCCTAGGGTGTGCATCTAGCAGCAATATAAGTAGCATAAACACCAATAAGTTCAAATATCCTAAAGTAAATCGTGGATCGGAATGCATGGAAACCATCACTATCATGACATAATCATGCTTTCATGACACCAGTGTAGAAAAGCACTATTGCTTGTGTTTTGGGCATCAGCCACTAGAGGACTATCTTGAGCCTCTGTTTCCATCAGTTTCCACAGATCTCTGTTGTGTGCTCCTTCAGTCCTGAGTGCTTCATCTCTCTGGAGTGCTAGATGGGCATCTAAAGTGCACACTTGTTTTTTTTTTTTTCTTGTTTTTTTTTTTTGTGAGCTGGGTCATACAGAACTTATTTTAAACACTCTTGTTAAAAATATATGAGAGTGCTTATATTTAATTGATGGCCTTCCCAGACTGCACAAGGTCTTGTAGCACAGCTAGCAGATCTCTGTTGTGTGCTCCTTCAGTCCTGAGTGCTTCATCTCTCTGGAGTGCTAGATGGGCATCTAAAGTGCACACTTGTTTTTTTTTTTTTCTTGTTTTTTTTTTGTGAGCTGGGTCATACAGAACTTATTTTAAACACTCTTGTTAAAAATATATGAGAGTGCTTATATTTAATTGATGGCCTTCCCAGACTGCACAAGGTCTTGTAGCACAGCTAGTCAGAATGTGGCAGAGCAACTATCACAACTGTCAAAAAACAAAAATCATGAATTTTATGGGAACATTGCCTTTGAATGTTCTCTGAACATTCTGAAAGAATTAGTCATATTTAAATAAGTTTAGATGAATATCTAAAAAACATTCCGTGTACAATGTATAAATAATGTTTTCGTTTGCTAACATTTTGAAAACATTACTAAAGATCAGATTATTTTGAACAAATGTTGTATTAATGTTACTGGAATAACCTTGCCAAAACATTAGCCAAAGTTCCCTGTTAGCTGGGTTGATAAACTGCAGCAAGGCTTCCATGGTTTGCCCTCTCCTCTTAAAACATTTAGTAAAATGCATGTGGTCCCAACAGGACAAGCATAACAGCACCTTTAAATTTTGTGGAAAATATTCAGGGTGAAACAGAGACACTGAAGCCAAGAAAACTGTCTGCAGCACCACAATCCTTTTCCTGTTCTATCCTGTATCAGATATTAATGAATCACAAAGAACAGTCGTACCGTGAAAATGAAAAAGATAAGCTCTAAACATTTCATTGTGCTATTGCGCTTACTTTGGCTTGAAGATGTGTGCCTTTACTTGCGGGCCCACGAAGATAAATTAGCCGCTTTTAGATTTATCTAAATAGAAAATGAGATCACAGTGCACCCAAGAAGATGGTACATCCGAACTACAATAATAGGTGCCCATTATTACCGTTATCTGCTTCCAAAACAGTTACAGGCATAACTAAATTAGGGGCATTTATGGTACCTTGCAAAATATAACCCGAAAATATGGAAATGGTCCTATATGTGAAGAAAAATTAAAGATAGATCCTTTAAAGCAGAAGAAAGGGTAAATGTATTATCTGATCTTTATTTCAGTCATTACTTTAGCAGTGTTGGCAAAACAGAACAGTCTACAGTCTTGCTAGGAACAAAAAAGGAGATATGGGAGAGACTGGAAAAAGAAAGAGAGAGAGGAATGGAGAGAGAGAGCAGGCTGCATACATAAAGAAACCAACCAAACTGAAGATTTGGTACAAGCAGGAGAATAAGACCATATATCCATCATTATACCACAATGTCACGTTTTGAAATAAAAAAGACAAGTAAGAGATGCACACATGGAGAAGCCATATCTTTGGGAAAGGCATGCCACGGGGAGAGGGGTACGTTGTGGATGCTGATTAACTTTGACAGGATAAGAGGTGGAACAGAGCCACTGCATGCACCTGCTTTGGCTAGATTGGGGTGGGTGAAGAATGTGAGAGTTAAGAGTTCACACTGACGGATCCTTGCATAACACAATCTCCAGCTCTGTGCGGAACAGCTTTCCTCCGTCCGACAACGCCATGATGCTCTTCTTTGAGCTAGCCAGGTTTTGAGGTACAACAACCTAAAGAAGGATACACATAGAAGTCTATACATATTCAGACCACCATTGCTGAAATGCAGGAATTAGAACAGGATTATGTAAATAAGTACATATTTTAAAATGTATCATTTAATATTTATATAACCTTTCAAAAATTTGAGTGGTAATATTTTTAAACATTTTTGAAAGATGTCTCTTATGCTGAATTTTCAGCAGTCATTACCCCAGTCTACTGTGTCACAGAAAGCATTCTAATATGCTGGTTTGGTGCTCAAGAAACATTTCCAAATGATTATAAATGTTGAAAGCAGTTGTGCTGCTTAACATTTTTTGGAAACTGCGATACTTTTTTCAGGATTATTTAGTGAATAGAAAGTTGATGAAAAGAACAGCATTTTATTTCAAATAAAAATCTTCATACAATTATTAATTAATTTTTTTGAAAAATCTTTCCAACCCCAAATATCATTTAAAGTATCTATATTCATAATTGTATATTTAAGACAATTTCATAAAAAAAATTCTGCAGTTGTAGCTTCTGTGACAATTTTTGTCATCTGTGCACTGTGCTTAAATTGTGTGTAAATGCACTTTTCCATAATATATATATGTCATTTCAGATGCATCTTTTCTGCCTTCATTTCAATTAAAATAATTAATAGAATGCTAAATTTCCACCCAAACCATCAAGTTACCATTTTATGTTTTTGGTAGAGGTCTCTCAGCAGTGCATCCAGTTCATGTTCATCAATGTAACCATTTCCATCCAATTTCATAAAAAAATTTCTGCAGTTGTAGCTTCTGTGACAATTTTTGTCATCTGTGCACTGTGCTTAAATTGTGTGTAAATGCACTTTTCCATAATATATATATGTCATTTCAGATGCATCTTTTCTGCCTTAATTTCAATTAAAATAATTAATAGAATGCTAAATTTCCACCCAAACCATCAAGTTACCATTTTATGTTTTTGGTAGAGGTCTCTCAGCAGTGCATCCAGTTCATGTTCATCAATGTAACCATTTCCATCCTGTTTAGGGAAAAGGGGGGGGGGTGACAGTTTTATATACATTCTAAATCATAAGCATAAGCATATTACTTTCTTCTTCTTCTGCACTGGAAGCTCCTGTCGTCAAGTCAAATTCCTTGTGTGTGTAAACATACTTGGTAATAAAGCTCTTCTGATTCTGATTCTGATTAAAAAGCCATTTTCTAAGAGTCTAATTAACATCTGACATAACACTTTAAAAAATAAACCTTGCAGATGAAAACTGACAAGAAAAAGACGTCTCCACACTGTATACATGGTATCTGAGAGGATGTATCAGTTATGAGTTTGTGGTTGTGTATCATATAGTAGTGCTAAAGTGTTTTTATGGTCATGTGTAGATTACCATCCCACAATACAAGACAAATGAACAAGAACACAAACATAAGAAATATTCACATTATCTGACCTTATCATAATAGTTGAAGATTGCTTCAAATTCTTCAGCAGATAGTTTGAAATTCTGGAGAAGAAGAAAAAGAGACATTAGTTTATGTTCAGTGAATGTGTGTGTGTATGTGTGCAAAATATAGTGTAGAGGGTTATAGCAGAATATCAGTTTGTCTTCAGATTCAATTTTGAGCGTTTGAATATTCATAACTAGAAAATAATCCTTCTAATCCTTTGGATTACAACAGAACAGTACAGTGACATATAGCATCATTCCTATACTGTAAAAAAAACTAATAATAAAAAATGAAATGTATACCATTCGTAAACATGCCATGATAATAATAATAATGTGTGACGTAATCATGCCAAATATTGCACATAAAAGTAATTTAGAAAATGGCTTTGTATAATTTATATCAATGACATTCCAGTAATGACAGTAATAATATTAAATTCATATCTCAATTGCATTGCTTTTTATTCTATGTATTATATTGGTTTACAATTTATAATGAGCATTTTATGCCCCTCAGTGTCGGTTTTACTGTGCCTTCCGATTCCCCTAGTGAATGAACAAATGTTTTCCCAGTATATTATAAAATAAATATAATAAGATTATAAATAATTTAATATTTAGATCATATTTTTTATAATTGCATGCATAATTTATACATACATATTATACACATTTTATACTAACTTCCATTAATAACATTAAAAAGCATTTTTACACAACACTTCAGTCTGATGGCATTTATTAATCACATTCAAATAAAAAATAAAGCAAAACATATTTTTATTAAAATGTTTGGCTATAGAATGATACCCTTTTATGAATATTTGAAATCTTTTTCAGGACTGAAACGGCAAAGGACAGCTTGGTCACCATATTTTGACCCTGATAATGCTTTGAGACTAAACAGAACGTAGACCAGTTCTTCCAATCTTAACCTATTTTTTGGTGTTTTGTTGAGGAAAAAAAAGAGAGACAGAGAAAAATAAAGAGAGAGAGCACCCAGTGAACGTGGGGAGACTGGGTCGGATCAGTACATCTCCAGGTTCAAGAATAATCTATGGAGATTATCGCAACTACAGTAGGATTGAAGTAATCCCTATCAACCTGTGCTCTCTGTGGCAGAAATCAGTTACCAATCTGCTGTCAGGTTCAGACACAGACAAACCTTATAAACACACACAAACAAACCTATGTACCCAAATACAGATTCATCGGTTATTATGTGTTTTCTACATGACTTTAGCAGAAAACATGCATCTGATCTGCAGATCTAAAAAAAGAATCTCTTGCCATATTACAAATCTTATATTTCTCTTCAGCTCTCACTGTAAGCTACCGTGATTTTACTGTAACTGCAAACAATTGCCAGCTTCCAGTACATCACAGTTTTCAAAACATGAGCTGATTTTATAGCTGAATCGAATTTGTTAATTGTTTATGAATTTTGCAACATCGACAAAGTTATTGAACTGAATTGAAGCAACACTAAACTGACTCGTGCTGAATACCAACTCTACTGTCTTAGTGGAGCTGCTTACAGCTGAATAGAACTTGTTTCATAATGAACTTTTTACAGTTATTGAACTGCACTGAACCAACCAATTACTATTCTAACCCACATTCTGTATATATACACCATGTCTACAATGATCATTGTGATACAGTGAATTGCACTGTACAGGCATTTGTACCTCACAATATTAGTATTTACCTACATAGCTGATGTATTTCATTGGCTCTATACTTACATTTATATAAAGTTTTATAATTTGGCGGACACTTTTATCCAAAAAAACTAAACAAAACAAACTAAATAACTTACATTGCATTCGCTGGGAATGGCATACATATTATCAGTTCATACATTCCCTGGATCAAACCCATGATCTTGTTCTTGCTCTCTTCTGTTCTGAGCTGCAGGAACACTTTACTTGTACTCTGCACAATGACAATAAAGTCAAATTGAATCTAACATTATGAGCACTGCTTGATCTTACCTGAAACTTGAGCAGAAAATTCTCCTGCACAGGAAGCAGTCTGAAGACACAAATATAAAATTTTTACAATAGGGCATTAATATGCATTCACTTCAGCTCACTCAGAGGCCTTCTCACCTAGCCATTTCGGACAATCCCAGTTTCCCATCACCATTCAGGTCAAACATTTTAAGCTAGAAATAATGATCTATCTTATAATAAAATATTAAATTTTATACAGATATATTATATAATATATTATAAGTTAATAAAATATACTAATAATATAAACATTAAATACACTGAAAACTAAATAGGTTTTCTTTTCTTAACCACTACTTTTAGACTCCATTCTGTAAATCCATTGAATGGGATTTCAGCACCATGGACAGCCCCACAGTGGAGCACAAAGCACTTATCCAAAAAGCATCCCTTTTGCTACACAATCGACCAAGTGCTGCTGTATGAGTTGATGCCTGTGTAAAGCCTATCTGCCTGGCTTAAGAAGAGAGTGTCTGCAAGGGCTGGACAGTGATGAGAGACAATTTTATGCTCTTGGTTATCTTTTCTGGCCCCAACAGAGGAGCTCATCATTGCTGAACTGCTGAAGAACACTAAACCATACCAAACCGAAAAGTCAGAAAAGCTCTGAAACCACCCGTCTACGACAAGTTCCACCTCTGAGTGCTCTGACACACAAACCTGGAGGATCACCTTCTGTCTATGTAGCAAAACGTACTTTTTAAGCCTTACAATCGTTTTGTTCGATTTAAGGGTGTGTATAGTATTACAACATATAGAACAAATATAGTTTTATTATCATGAAATGCTTATTCTATGTCTGAAACATATATAGACCATAAAGAGAGAGATTCAAGTTCAATAAAATGCATAAATGCATCCTTAGTCGACATGAACCCTAACTTGGATTGACTATAGATTCTGGATGAAAAAAGTCTGCATAAAAAATACAGTAAAAACTGTAATAATGTGAAATATTATTACAATTTAAAATCTGTTCTCTATTGTCATATATTATCAAATGCAATTTTTGTAATGTGTTTATGTGAAGTCATAATCTTGTTAGAATGTAGTACTGTTTTGATTTATGTTTAATAATTTTCATTGTGTGATTTTTGGTGTACTGTATTAAAACTAGTTAGTTAATTAGAATAATATGAAAGAAATGTCTTACGGGTTTGGAACAAAACGAGGTTGAGTAATTAATGACAGAATTTTAATTTTTGGGGTGAACTATCCCTTTAAGACATGCTTTTTTGGGGGGTTAAATAATGGCACAAATGCCAGTAATTTGACGAGTGCAAACGTTAGTAAAACACATTTCGTGATTTGAATACTCTCCTCCCATAAATTTTGCGTCTGAAATGGAAACTCCTGCAAATGCATATTCGATAAGGTCAGGCGCAAAAATAACTGTCCACGCCTTTTCAGCGCGTTTTTAGTAAAAACTGACAGTACAATTTTAACACCAAAAGACGGTTTGCGCTGGCGCAAGCTGTTAGTAAAACTGACTCTTAAAGGGTTAATTCACCCAAAACTTTTTTTTATCATTTATTACTTGTTATTCCACATCTCCATGAGTTTTTTTTCTTCAGCTGTACAGTCACAAGATATTTTACTTTCATAGTATGAATAAATACACATTCTTCAAAATCTACTTTTGTGTTCAACAGAAGACAGAAACTCATACCGGTTTGGAGCAACTTGAGGGTGAGTAAATGATGACAAAAGTTTCATTTTTTGGGTGAACTATCCCTTTGAGAAAAATCACACAAGCAAGGGTAATGTGAAGGTGTCTTTAAATAGCTGAGTTAAGGCTGCTTGTGCCTGCTCAAAATACTCTGTATAGCATTGCAGCATTAAACAGTATGTAAAGAGTCAAGACATAAAAGCTACTTTCAGAAGTGCTTCTGTGCCATCTTTGTAATGTGAATTTTGACTCTAGATCAATATAGATCAGGTATGAGACCACAGAAAACCACAGCCTGCTAATATAGAGTCTAACAGCATGATTACGAGAGTGATATATAGTTTTTACATAACTTAAATTTCATTCTATATGTCATTGATACACTGACATTACCACCCACTAGCATAACAATGTAACACGCAGAAAGAGTTCAAAAATCTCCACACCTGTCTATAATGATACAAACACCACTCTTGTAACACTCGGCTAATATAACAGACATTAATCCATTATTACAACAGTAAGAAGTCAAATGAAAGACTGCTACCATGGCTTAGAATAGTGTGGATTTTTTTCCATAAATTTGCTTCCTTTAAAAAGTGAACATCTCTATTCTGTTGATTTTTGTTCCTCTGCTAAAAGTTACAAAAATCAATTGATCATTGTTCATACCACTAAGAATGCTAAACCTACTTTTAAAGATAACACTTCTACCTTTCTGAAATAAGTGAAGCAGAAAACCCCAAAAGGCTGAAAACCAGATGACAGATATGACAAACCCAACATGGCTAATCTGCAGTTCCATCTTAGATTCACACGCTTCACACAGAAGAACAGATCATTGATCACAAAAGCCTTGAAAAGCAGTCTGAATGAGCTGCTGAAATCCTGCCAGCTTTTAAAATAAAGTAGCATGTTTGAGATTTTGTACCAGATTGAAAACTGCCTGAAGTTTGAGTGAAAAACAGTGAACATCTAAACATTGTAGTGAGTTATTCTACCACTTATTTGGTTTACTAGGAGGATTTTCTTCATTACAATTTCTAATAGAGTGAGATTTATATCATGCGGATCATTTGTATATAACCCCTTCCCTTCTGCATTAACTGCATGGTCTCCAACTAAGTAAGCTTTAATCTGCTGCATGGAGAGGTTCCTTTCATCCTTTTAAACCCATTTTACCTCTACTAAGCTATATAGGACTACAAACAGGTCAAGAGAAAGAAATGTACCACCACTAAAAACATTCAAAAACAACCTAATCAGCCAAAAAAAAAAAAATTAATAGCATCATAACTAGAGCAGGTTGACATTAATTGGAGGAAGGAAGGCGCTCATATGTTCATGTGGTCTCTATGACTGGATTAGTGAGTTTTTTTATACCAACATAAATCATTTTATCCATTCATTTGTGTCATCATGATAGACGTCACCTCCATCCTCTCCCTCCCCCTTCATCCATCTCTCCCTCATCTCATTCCATCCTCCCCTCGATAGATGCAACCTTCAAGCCCCTAATCTGCCCTCATTGTCCTCTTTATATGTCTTCCTGGTATTCCATGAATCTCAGACAGTGGTTCTGCAATACATTCTCTCTTCATAGCTTCAAACTATTGCTGTGGCTTACTTTAGCAGTGAAAAGCGGTGAAATTTACCTCTGACATCTCAATCTTCCCATCACCGTTCTCATCGAATTTTTGCATAAACTCTTTCATCCTGTCTTTGAACGAAGCATTTGAAGGATCCTGAAAGCCAAACAAATATGACTGGCATGTAAAACAGCACAATTAAGAACAATTTGTTTTCACATATAGTTCAAGAGAAGTGTCACTTTATGTTAAAAAAATATTTAAAACCAGAAATTGTATTGACATTAGAAAATATCAGCCAGATGGTATCTGCTCAGATGGTATGTTCATTAAGATAGATTAATTTAGATTCTGTAATTTAGATTAATCTCATTCTGTAGTTCTTAATAACTATATGTGACAGATCACCACTTAACAAGTACAGCTGCAGCTGATGTTTTTAACATAAATAATGAACATACACAAAACTGTGACTCACCACACTTGCACTTTTCCTTGCTAGCTCGAGCTCACGAATGAAATGTTCCAGTTCCTTCCCTTCAATGCAGCCATTTCCTAGAGAAAATATGAACCCAAATTCATTTATTACATTATCAACTAACTTTCTCTGATATAACTTGACAATCAGTCTCTCTTTATAAATGAAATGAGGATCTAATACTCAGTTCTTGTCTTGTTGATTTAAACTGCTGAAGGACAAAATGCAGATTATAGATAAATTAAATGAGCTATAAAGGGATTTTATCCATATATTCCCTAGAAACAATGTTTATACAGGGGGAAATTTTACATCTTATACACAGCTCAAAATTATTATTTTTTCCTTTCTGTCTTTTTTTAATTGATCTAGTTCATTTTAATCTGTATTCAAATTATTTCCAATCTTTGGCTAAAAACTAGTTTTAGAGAGTTCTGGACACATTTTTTTGCTGATCAGGCAGATCAGACCATCTTAAACCAGCTAAGGCCGGGAAACTATAGCTTGGTTGTCTGTAACAATTTTTGCCATATGTTTGTACATATGACATTCACATATATATCACTCCCAAACTAGCCTAAACCAGCCTAAGATAGTTTGCTGGTCTTAGCTGGCCACTTAGTCTAGTCCTGCATTTGGGAGGCCAACGGACTGACCAGTTAATCCAGCTGAATGCCAGCTTCGCAGAGATGGGAGACCAATTTGATCAGACGAAGACCAGACTGCGAGGCCAGCTAAAACGATTTAAGACCAGCTTAAACCAACTAAAAACAGCAAACCATTTTAGGCTGGTTTAAGAAGTATTTTTTCAAGCAGGACCGGCTCTCTAAACCCCGCCCACAACTTTTCATCTTCATAGTCTCTCAAACGCTGACACATAAATCAATTGGAAGGAAAGATTCCATCCAGAGCGGAATCAATAATGCCAACAATGCCTGTGAGGCTAAATTGACTGAGCTGTGCAAACGCGTGCCTAACGCTGAAAGCAGTTAACAGGGCAATAGCAGGCAATCATCCCACTGGCGCTTTTTCAAAATACGCTTCTGCGTAAAACGGCATTGCACAATGCATGAGGATTCCACTTGCATTATACATAATTGCATTCACTTTATTCCAATTTTTTTTAAACGTGTAACTCAATGAACTTATAGGAAACCGACATAAAAATAAAAACATATGCATGCATGTGCGGTAGGCTACCGCAAAGATATATCATGTCGTAAATGCTCGAGTTTATCACTCAATCCAGACAAGAAATGAAACGAGTAAAATATCATTAATCATAGTCATAATAATAATAATCCATGCCTCTCTTTTAAAAAGTGTAATTATTGACAAGAATACAGCAGATAGGCTACAGTAGGCTATTTCTCTATCACTACAAAAAGTGTTGGAACACTGAGTGACTCTTTCCATAAACAGCTTGTATTTTATTGATGTAGCCTATTAGGTTATTGCTTATATTTTTTTTACAGTTATCCTTATTATTTGCTTTTGTAGCCCACTTTAAAATTTAATGTACATTAAAATGTAATTAATAGTAGACATAAATCAAATGCAATACAATCAGTCTGGATA